TGAGGCAGGCTGATGCTGAGGCAGGCTGGGCTGAGGCTGAGGCTGAGGCTGAGGCAGGCTGAGGCTGAGGCAGACTGAGGCTGAGGAGGCTGAAGCAGGAGGCTGAGGCTGAAGGCTGAGGCTGAGGCAGGCTGAGGCTGAGGCAGGAGAGCTGAGGCTGAGGCAGGCTGAGGCTGAGGCTGTGTCTGTGACTGCCGTTGCCACTGCGACTGTCATCGCGAATGCGACTACGACTGCGAGAACAGCACAATTCTACAACTGGATTCTCATCTGAATCTTAAGGGGAATGCTTCCAAATATGCTCCTACACATCGCTGTTAGGTTGCTTTGCCGGGATAATAGGTTTCTAGTGGGGTCAAAAGAGAGCAGCAGATGACTCCACAGGGGGGTCTGGGCGGGTGCCGGACAGGGTGCCGCAGAAGTCGTTTTAAGCCAACAGTCACACACTTCGTGCTCTTCGACCTCCCAGAACTCCATTCCCGGGCCACATTCTGAATGCCCGGAGCCAACTGTAGGCCACTTCGTGGTCTTCGACTTCCCAGAACTCCATTCCCGGGCCACATTTTGAATGCCCGGAGCCAACTGTAGGCCACTTCGTGGTCTTCGAGTTCCCAGAACTCCATTCCCGGGCCACATTTTGAATGCCCGGAGCCAACTGTAGGCCACTTCGTGCTCTTCGAGTTCCCAGAACTCCATTCCCGGGCCACATTTTGGATGCCCGGAGCCAACTGTAGGCCACTTCGTGGTCTTCGAGTTCCCAGAACTCCATTCCCGGGCCACATTTTGAATGCCCGGAGCCAACTGTAGGCCACTTCGTGGTCTTCGAGTTCCCAGAACTCCATTCCTGGGCATGATTTTGAATGCCCGGAGCCAACTGTAGGCCACTTCGTGTTCTTCGAGTTCCCAGAACTCCATTCCCGGGCCACATTTTGAATGCTGAGGCAGGCTGAGGCTGAGGCTGAGGCAGGCTGATGCTGAGGCAGGCTGAGGCTGAGGCTGAGGCTGATGCAGGCTGAGGCTGAGGCAGGCTGAGGCTGACGCCGAGGCTGAAGGCAGACTGAGGCTGAGGCTGAAGCAGGCTGAGGCTGAGGCTGAGGCAGGCTGAGGCTGAGGCAGGCTGAGGCTGAGGCTGAGGCAGGCTGAGGCTGAGGCTGTGTCTGTGACTGCCGTTGCCACTGCGACTGTCATCGCGAATGCGACTACGACTGCGAGAACAGCACAATTCTACAACTGGATTCTCATCTGAATCTTATGGGGAATGCTTCCAGATATGCTCCTACACATCGCTGTTAGGTTGCTTTGCCGGGATAATTTTTGCAGAGGATGGCGGGGGAGGGTCCATACCGGCCTGGCTGGGATAGTACGAACTCGTATTTGGGATGGAAGGTGGGGCAGAATCAAGTGTAAATCGCAATGCGAAAAAGCGGATCGTTGATTTCGGGGGGGGCAGAATGAATTACTCTTTTAGGAAAGAGAACCTATATATGACGAGGCGGCGACGGGGCGGCGACTCGGGGCGGCGACGGCGGCCACATGGCGGCCAGAGCGGCCCGCAACCCCCGACGACGCGCGGCGACGGGCGGCGAAGAGGCGGCGACGAGGCGGCCGGAGCGGCCCGCAGGCCCAGGCGACGGGCGGCGATGAGGCGGCGACGAGGCGGCGACGAGGCGGCGACACGGCGGCCAGGGCGGCCCGCAGGCCTGGTTCCTCCGAGAAGGAAGGAGTGCGGCACTGTCTGTAGACAGGCGCGTTCCGCTATTCGCAAATCAACTACTCGCAAATTGCCCAGATAGGCGGCGGGCGATTCACGTTATATTACATAGGGAGGAAGACCTTTATCTCGGATGTTTGCGAGTAGGCACTTTGCGAACGCGCTCGGCGAGCCTGGAGAAAGGAAGGAGCAACACGTCATGAGGAGGCGGAGGCGGAGGAGGCGGAGGCGGAGGCGGAGGAGTCGGAGGAGGCGGAGGAGGTGCCTCACTCTGCTGGACCCATCAGCAACCCTCGAAAGTGGCGACACTTTTGCAGATCGCAGCACCCCCCCCAAGGACGGCGAGGTCTCGCGGGAGACAGGAGGCGGGAGGCAGGAGACGGGAGGCGGGAGGAAGAGAAGAGCGCGACCGCAGTGCTCTCTTCGAAACGAATACCCAACCCAAGGAGGGCTGGGAGAAAAAAAAGCGACGGCAGGATCTGAACAAATCTTCGGCCTCCGGGGGCCCTCACTGGACCCCCGGGACTGCCAGAAGAGCACCCGGGAGGAAAAAACACAGCCCCGAGGACGGGGTCTCTCGCCCGCCAGCGCAGCTTCGTCTCGCCCGCACGCGCGGCACGCACGAGCACGCTCCGTTCCACTTCGACCTCAAAAAGAATCCAAAAGTCATCCCAGTACTACTGTTTTTGCTACTTTCGAAGAGAGGGAAACAGAAAGTGGCACAAACATCAAAACTCGGAGGTCCGAGCGAATTCTCGGAGCGGCGCTGGACCCCCCTCCCTGGCGCGCGGAGCGCGCCAGGCACTTCGACCTCACCCCCCAACCTCCGACAGACCTCCGGGGCCCCCGCTGCTGACAAGCCACGGCGACGTGGCCGGCGAGGCCCCACGCCTGCCCGCGCGGGCCGGGGCACCGGGGCCCCGAGAAGCGAGGAAAGCGGGCCCCGGGAGCGCCGAGGCTGCCCCCCACACAGGATCAAAAAAACTGCACAGACGCAGGCCGGGCATGACCCCCTGGAGGGGGATGTTCTATGAAACATGGAAAAAAAACCCAACAAATATTCAAAAATCGTCCCCATACTCTAGGGCGACCGAATCTATACATATCCACTGCTCCCTGGCCAGGCACACCGTGAACCCAGCAGCAGTGTATACGCCACACCCTCCTGGCTGGGCCAGGAGGGCGTATACACAGCTCCTGGGTTCAGAGTGGGCCTGGCCAGGGAGCAGTGGATATGTATAGATTTCGTCGCCCGATACTATTTTTTACCATCTTTGAATTTCCCCCCTGTAGAGGGACAGGCCCGACTTAAGCACAGACGCAAACCTCCGCAGGTCCGACCGCCGACCGCCGATCTATCGGCGGCGTGGCGCCGATTGCAGGTCGATGTTTCTCCAGCCCCTGAGAGCTGGTCCCTCTCCATCGGCGCCCCCCATGCAGACATGGGGGACTGGCCGGGGGGGTCGAGGAGCAACTGCATCAACACTCGGGGATGGACAGACGACCCTTTAGCAAAACATGGTTTAGTGAAAACGACCTCGGGCCCAAACCTGGCGGGCGCGAGCCTGGAAAATGACGGACGCGGCGCCCTCTCGAGAAGAACCGAAAACGGACAATTCACTCATCGACGTGTCAGGGTCTGGTCCCCCTCCCCGCCCTCCTCCCCGGTGGCGCCCGTCATGGCCCGGCTCGTGGCCCTGGGCAAGCACGGTGACGGTGCACATGAGGAAGGACGGAGACACTGGAGTGAGTTCTGACCAACCGTGGCGATCGTGGCGATCAAGTGCCGTCCAGGACTGGCAGCGGTATCGGTACACTCGGGAGCGGCCAAGAGGGGGGTGCTCAAGAGGGGGGGGTGCAAATCATGGCCGGCGGCATGTGCGCGGCCCAGCGGGGGGGCCGAGGCACGTGATGAAACAAGAAGAGGCGCCACGAGATCTGGGGGAATATCATGGCCCCCGCCATGATATCCACCCCCCCTGGTCATCACCCCCCTCTTTTCCGCCCCCGAGCTTCCTCCCCACTGCCCCTGCCCCCGGTCTTCCGGGCCACAGCTCAGCCCTCCACACGACGCGGGCAGCCCCCCAGAGCACCCTCCGGCGAGGCGCGGCTGCTGGACCGGCATCCTGGAGGCTGGACTGCCGCGGAGGACCGACGAGAAAACGTCTGACAAAAACTCGAGCATCAAAACGCGTACTCCAGATTTCGTAAGAGAAGGGAGGGGGTCTCAACCCTCCCAGACGAGAAGTCTTAGACCCCCCCAGACCATCCATGCAAGGGCGGCCCTTTGCCCAGACCCCCCCCAAACCCTCCAAGACAGCTCGAATCAGACCCCCCCACGAATGTGACCCCCCCCACTTTGTTATGGAATCCGGAGTATTCGGGGGCTGCCGCTTCGCTTCCGAGTGTGGCACGGGTGCCTCCCGCGGAGGCGCAGCGCAGGACTGCCCGATCGCCAGATTCACGAGCGGCGAACAGATTCGTGTCCGCGCCCTTCGACCGGGGGATCGACCACAGAAGTGACGCACCCCAAGATTGCCTTTCCCGTCGGCCCTTCCGGCAAAAACACGTCGGCCCCTGATGGATCTGCGAAAATTCTACGAGCTGCCCGTGGATTCGGCAAGAAGAATCAATTGTGTGGCGAATCAGCTCTGTAGTCGATCGATCCCCTACACGAGCCCTCGCGGTCTAGACTCCAGGGCGCGATCCTGCGGACGCGCGGTCGGGGGGAAGCGATCCGCGCGGGGCACCCGAAAGAGAGAGAGAGAGAGAGAGAGAACGCCCCGCATCCGCGGGGCCGCGGCCCACGAGAAGCCCCCTCGGCCGCCCCGAAGTGGCGGCGCGCACAAGGGGGGTGGAGGGAGCTCCCTCCACGCCCCTTGTGCGCCCCTTGTCCTTCTGAGAAGCCCTCCCCCCCTAGGGGGAGGGCTCCTTGGAAGGAGGCTCCTTCTGAGAAGGCGCCGGGCTGACGTCTTTGGACAAGGCCCGCGCCTTCTAAGAATGAAGGGGCCCCAGAACACACAAATAAATACACACAAATAAAAAGATTCCCCATATCTTCTCATATTTTCTGGGTTTTTGTCTTCCCGCCCAATTCCCATAGTTTCCCATATGTTCTTGGGAATCGACGATTCATTGTGTCTGTGCGCTTTTTCCCCTCCTGAAAGAAGCAGGGGTGCTTCTAAGAAGCCCTCCCCCCTCCCCCCCGCTCCCCCCCCTGCGCGTGGCCGCCCCGAAGCCCGCGCAGAGCCGCGGCGCCGGTCGGGGAGGGGCGCGCCCGGCCGGGAGCTCACTTCTTCGCCTTCAGCTCCTGGATCTCCTCCGGGCCCCGTTCCCGGGGGGGCCGCCGGGGCGGGGCCCCCGGCCTGGAGGTGCCGTGGGGAAAGATTGAGCAGGGACCGACCGTGCCGGCATTCCTATAATCAGTCCTACCACGAGATGCTCTCAGAGCCCAGAGATGTTCGAAGAACAAAAACAATGTTCTTAGAACGTAAACCCGATGTGCTGAGACAAGGCAGTCCCAGCCAGAAATGTTCTAAGAACATGTCCTGGAAACCACAAAAAGTTCTTAGAACATTGTTTGGTAGGGCTATAGGCGAGCCAGGAAGCTTCGCCACTGCTTGAAACGACACGCCGCAGGGCCCTTCGCTGGGGCCGACTTCGGCCTCTGCGGGGGACCCCAGGATCGTCGAGGAGCGGCTCGGGATGAGAACCTGGCCCTGTCATGAGGTCGGGCATGTCCCCCTACAGGCAGATTTTGAAGGAAAAATAAGAAATAGTCAAAAAAATGCTCAAACATTGTCACAAATATTCCAAAAATCGTCCCCTACAATTTGTTTGACTATTTTTGAACGTTCCTCCTGTAGAGGGACACGCCCGACTGAAGTCGAGACCACTCCGGGCCCACGCTGTGAATGAGAGTCCGGCGCGACTCCATGGCGAAATCCTCCCGAGCGGCACCGCTCGGCATTGCTGAGCATTGTGACTGGCACTGCTTTCTGCATCGGTTTGCAGTGCTGCGCGCTTGTTTGAATTGTTATGCGTCGGCTGGTATTGCTGGGTGAGCGTTCTCGTTGTGGGCTTCGGCAACGAAGCTGGCCGGAGGGTGGGGGAGGGGGGGGGTCTGGGTCTGGCTGGGCCGGTGCTGGGTCGACGGGCTCTTACCAGTCGCGCCAGCAGACTGGGGGGGGGCCAAAAGCAGCCACCAACAGTAGCCAAGACCTGGTCTACGGACGGGGGGGGGACGGGGGCAGGACAGGGGCCCGCGCCCGACGGCGAAACGAGGCCAGCGATTTGGCATTACTTGGCACTGGCCTGCACCGCTGGACATCTAGCGGCACTCAGTGGCGTTGACTTGCACTGTTTTGAATCGATGTACATCGTTTGGCACTGCGTTGCACTGCTTGGCATTGTCTTGGAACTGCGTCGAATCGACTGGCATTGCTAGGTCTTGGTTGGCACTGCTGCTTGGCATTGCTGCTTGGCACTGCTGTTTGGTATTGTTTTGATTTGATTTGTGTTGTCCGGCATTGATCGGTATTGTTTGACAGTGCTTGGTATTGGTCCGCATTCCTCGGTATTGTTCCGCAGCGCTTGGCATTGCTTGTTGTTGCAGGGAGATGGAGATACCAAGGAACAAGACCAGGGAACCCGAGCGGGCGCCGAGCAAGGACCGGGGAGCCCACGGAACAAGACCGGGGAACCGTCTCAGGGGCAGCAAAGAAATGAAGGGGCCCTGGGACACACAAATAAGTACACACAAATAAAAGGATTCCCCATATTTTCTCATATGTTCTGGGTCTTCGTCTTCCCCCCCACTTCCCATAGTTTCCCATGTTTTCCTGGGGATCGACGATTAATCGTGTCTGTGTGTTTTTACTCCCCTGAAGAAACCAAGACCAGGGAGCCGGGCAAGGCAGGGGCCCGCAAAAAGTGTGCGGCGGCACCCACAGGGACCTGCACAAAACAGGTAGGATCGGATGCGCATTCTGGGGACCTTCCTGGAGACATGTTTTTGAACTCCACGCTCTGTCCGTCACATTTAACCAGGCACCCTACGGCGTGGGGAGAGAGTCTGCGGGGAGAGAGCCAAAATGGCTACGGACCTTCCTGGAGACACTCGCTCCACTCGTGCGTCGAAGCTGCGTCGGACGTCGGCCGATTTGAGCCGACCTTGAGTCGAACCTGAGTCGAACTTGAGTCGAACTTGAGTCGACCTGGATTCGAGCTTGAATCGAACTGGGGTCGAACTAGAGTCGAACAGATCCGTTGGGTGGGCCCAGGGAAGGTCCCCAAAACGAGCATCTAAATGAGAGCCCCTGGCAAAGCCTCGCTGCTGAGAGAAACAAAGCTCTGGCCGGGGGGGCGACGAGGAGGCGGGGCGCAAGGGGGGACCGGAGGAGACGGGAGGATGATAGGGAAGAGGAGGAGGAGGAGGAGAAGGAGGAGGAGGAGGACGAGGAGGACGAGGAGGAGGAGGAGGAGGAGGAGGAGGAGGAGGAGGAGGAGGAGAGGAGGAGGAGGAGGAGGAGGAGGAGGAGGAGGAGGAGGAGGAGGAGGAGGAGGAGGGGGCAGGGAGAGTGAGGGAGGGAGGAGGATGCGGGAGAGGGAGGGAGGGGGAAAGAGAGGGGGGGGGGAACGGTGGGGGGGGGCAGGGCGAGGCGTGATCATCCGACCCCAGCAGCTCCAAGTTGGCCCTCAGATCGTCCAGCACAGCACAGGGCTCAGGGCTCCAGAGCAAGGGGCCACGCGAACGCCCTCGGACGCTTCCAACGCGCTGGCACCCAAGCCGCGAATTCATCAACGAGGGGCTGGAAGCACAAGGGCGAGTCTAAAACGCGAGGAGACAAAAAAAAAAAAAAAAAAAAAAAAAAAAAAACAGGCCAGCTCTGCCCCATCGGAGGGCTCGCCGTAGCGGGGGCTTCAGAAGCGTGCGCGGGCGTGGGCCCCGCTGGCCAGACGACCGCACGAGCTGGCCTTCGTGCTCGAGGACGTCGGGCGACTCGTCAATCGGGAGCGGCCAAGAAGGGGGTGTCCAGGAGAGGGGGGTGCAAATCATGACCGGCGGCATGTGCGCGGCCCAGCGGGGGGGCCAGGGACGTAATGAAATAAGAAGAGGCGCCATAAAATCTTGCGAAATATCATGGCCCCCGCCATGATATCCACCCCCCCCTAGTCATCACCCCCCCTCTTTGCCGCCCCCGACTCAAGAAAAACAAATCTCGAGGTGGGGGAGCCAGGACTTGCGCTGACCAGGTACAAAAAAAGTCGACTGCCCTGGGCGGCCCCCAGAGGTCCTCAAGAGGCTGAGCATGATGAGCCATTTAAAAGTGGCCCTGACCCTTTGGGAGGGGACCCAAGTGAGGAGGGCAAAAAACATTAGGGATTAAGGGCGCCTTTTTTCCTGCAGACGCATCAGACCAAATCGCCAAGATTCATTACCCCGAATGCGAACACGGGGACCCAAGGGAGGCCACGTCTTCATCGTGACATTCATGGGACGCACAGAGACATACTAGTACTACGTGTCCTCCTTGGAGGCGCGCGTCCGACCCGAACATATAGCCTCCTCCTCCTCCTCCTCCTCCTCCTCCTCCTCCTCCTCCTCCTTGTCCTCCTTGTCCTCCTCCGCCTCCTCCTCCTCCTCCTCCGCCTCGCCTGCATGTGCACCGCCTAGCTATGAGATGCTCGACCTGAAGATTGACCAGTACATTGAGAACCACACCCAGAATGGAGAAATGTCTGATGCCACTGGAGCAGAGAGGCAATCAGGACAACTCCTCTTGGATGAGATCGACCAGGACTGGGTAACAAAAGCCTGGACCGAATTGCAACCCGAGGAACGGGCAGGAGGAGCAGGGAGAGGAGCGGCGCAGGACGGCGGGGCGACGACAGCACCTGGGAGGCAGGCCCACAAGAGGCATCAGACCCACAACCCAGGCACGGTCGCGGGATGGGCCGAGGGCCATCAGATGGATGGGTGCGCACACATAGACCCCCCACACTCCCTCCCTTATCCCCCCTCGCTCCCTCCCTCCCTCCCTCCCTCCCTCCCTCCTGCTCCTCCCCCTGCCAGTTCCTCCTGCCCTCACTCCTCGCCCCCCCCTTCCGTTCTCCTGGCCTCTCCCCTGGGCATCGAGCGGTCAGCTCCCTCTTGAGCTGCTCGATCTCGGCGTTCTGGGAGTCCATCTTGCGCTCGTCCTGCAGCTGCTAGAGGATGGGGGAAGGAGGAGGAGGAGGAGGAGGAGGAGGAGGAGGAGGAGGAGGAGGAGGAGGAGGAGGGGGGCAGGAAGAAGAGGGGGCAGGAGGAGAAGGAGGAGGACGACGACGAGGAGCCGGCGAGAGCAGGAGGAGGAGGAGGAGGAGGAGGGCCGTGAGGGGGGGGAGAGGCGCACAGTGTCCCTCCGACGCGCTGCGGGCTCCAGTCGACGGGACAGCAACGGAGGGACACGCCTCCTGCGGGAGCGGGCACCGCTGCAGCCGGCAGTGGAGCGAGCGCTACGTCCAGGCGGGAGCGGGAAGAGGACGCCCGGGATGAGCAACCGAGAAACGCCAAGGCACGCGAGGCGGGCAGGGAGAGGGGCGCAGAGGACGGGGGGGGGACCCCGAGAACCGACGTTGCGAAACTGCTGCAGCATCGCAGAAAAATCACGACCAGAGCCCCGGATCCCATCTTTCGGCAGGATCTTTCGAGACGGATCGAGCCGTGAGGGTCCCTGGGGCCCGAAGCGGGGCGAAAACGCCCGCTGCGAAAAACATTGCAACGCCAGGATCCCAGGGGAGGAGGAGGAGGAGGAGGAGGAGGAGGAGGAGGAGGAGGAGGAGGAGGAGGAGGAGGAGGAGGAGGAGGAGGAGGAGAAGGAGAAGGAGAAGGAGGAGGAGGAGGAGAAGGAGAAGGAGAAGGAGGAGGAGGAGGAGAAGGGAGGAGGAGGAGGAGGGAAAGGAAACAGGAACGAATAATAGAGTGAGTCCAAGTTGCCCGAACCGACCTACTCAACAAAAACGATTAGAGCATGGAACTGAAAAGCCCACCCATGGAGACCTACCGAGGAGTCTCCCCCTGGCGCAGCCGCTTTCAGCGGGACTTCTGCGCGCTGAGGGTCTTGGGGATGTCCGAGGGGCCTTTACAAGGCCGCCAGTGGCGAGAACCCGCCCCGCTTCCCCAACCACACAAGTACACCGCTCGCAGAAGGCGTACGGCAGCTTCGTGTCATGACGACCCCGACGTTGGTTTCTGACACCGCGTGGATCGCTCAATCTTGAATGATCGGCGGCTTTTCGATCGCCCGATCGTTCCATGTATAGGTCGATCCTGGGCCACTGGCGGCGTTCAACCTTGAACGCCCGCGGCGGGGTCGCCGCCGATCGACGCGACGCGAACCTACCGGACGCCCCCACCTCGGCCAATCCGATGGCCAAGGCGGCGGAGCAGGTCCCTATCGCCACGGCCACGCTCCCCAGAGCTCTCCGCGCCAGCCCCCCACGGCTGGCCAGGAAGGAGGGGCAGCGATAAGGGAGGAGGGGGAGGAGGAGGAGGAGGAGGAGGAGGAGGAGGAGGAGGAGGAGGAGGAGGACGAGGAGGACGAGGACGAGGACGAGGAGGAGGAGGAGGAGGAGGAGGCGGAGGGGACCAGCTCAGGGGGGGAGAGTCCCGAGCCAGCCTTGAGCCAGTCTCTATCCTCTCGCACGCACCCCCACACGCTCCTCCCTCCCCCTTTTTCCCCTCCTCCTTCCCCCTTCCCGCGCCCCCCTTCTCCCTTGCCAAGCCCACACTCCCCGCCCCGCCTCCTCCATCAGGGGGGCAGGGGGGGGGAGACCTCGGCCTGGAATCGGCGATGCATCGCCGATAGATCGGCGGTGGGCCCCCGATATAGCGAACCCCCGCAGTCCTAGGCGGGTGTGACCATCGTGCCCTTCTCGGCGATGCATGGGCGCTCGCGGGTCGAGGCATCCCCCCCCCTCCCCCTTGGGCCCATCCCTGACGAACGACCAGCACACACCCATACCCACAAGGGGGTCGTTGGGAGGAGGACTGGCAATGGGCATCTGGCGGCGAGCGAGGGGGAGAAGTGAGAAGGAGAAGGCCTTCTCAGAAGGCGGGACTTCTCGGAAGCCCTCGCGTCTTCTGAGAAGTTCTTCTTGTCTCCGGGGAAGGTCCCAGGAGACTTCTCAGAAGGCCGGGGAACTTCCGAGACTTCTGAGAAGGCCCGCCCCTTTTTGCTTCCCCCCAACGCTCGCCGCCGAGGTATGGGTGCGGGCTGTCGGCCCTAGGGAACGCTCCCGTTCGAGCGGGGACCCCCATCCGACAACACGCACCCGTAGCCTTCTCCGACCCCCCCATGGGTATGGGTGTGTGTTGTTGGTTCGTTAATATCCCCCCGAATCTATGCCCCTGGCGGAAGGACGACGACGCGGGAGAGGTGAAAGGATTCGGTTCCCTCTGATTTGTGTTAGGCGCTGGGAGGCCAAAGTAGGATTGCGCACGTGAGGCGTGCGACTGGGGCGGCTGGGCGTGCGTGAGGAGTGCACGTTGACATTATAAGTAGGCCTCCGGCCCCCATCCGGGGCCACGAGGCTCCGCGGATCAGGCCTGCTGTTCCCTGCTCCGGCTCCAGTCTCCCAAGTTACAGTACTACTGTCTACGCCCCCTACAAGTGATCCACGTGCTCGAATATACCACGCCCCGCCCCCTCTGGGTTCTCAGAATTTCTGGGGTGGGGGCTGCGGCACGTACAGACACACGAGACTCGCGTAAAAACCCTCGTGAACTACGCAGTGCTTGCGTCCCCGAGGCCACGGCCCCCCTCGCAAGTCTTGCCGAGGCCGCGTCCCCAAAGCCACGACCCCCCGGAAGTTTCACCAGACTCGCGTCCCCGAAGCCACGATCCCATACAAATGAACAAGAAGAGTTGTTGTCGTTGTCCGGCGGGCGCTGACCGAGCGAGCGGGCGCCGACGCGCCGTGCCCAGGACAGGCCACCTGCACCGAATTTGGGGGGGGGAGGGGAGGGCCCCCACGACCCCGGCCAGCACTGGGGAGTGCGCGGCAGCGGGATGGTGGGGGGGCGTTGCCTCCGCGAACGCCATTGGCAACGCTCACCTCAGCCCAGGAGGTGCCACGGACCACTCTGTACACCCTAGCGGAGCGGGTGGGCCCGGAGCGGGTGTGCCGCGTCACCAAGGCCGCGGCCCCTCGTGACCCCGAGGCCACGAGCCCCAGTAAAATACACCACGCTCGCGCCCCTCGGGCCACGGCCCCCGGTTAGTCACGCAACGTGTGCGCCACAGGAGAAGAAGCAGTCGTAAGTTACGCGTGGTTGCGTTACCGAGACCGCGATCCCCCCGCAAATCATGCAAGATTCGCGCACCCGAGGCCACGATCCCTCGAGCGCGAGATGTGCGTCCTCGAAGACATGAACCCGATTCGCGCCAAGTATACAATAGTTGCGTCACCAAGGCAAAGGCCCCCCATAAAGTGCACAAGATTCGCGTACCCGAGGCCAAGACCCCTTGTAAATGATACTATGTCTGCGTCCCCAAGGCCGCGACCCCTTGGAAATTACACGAGAATCGCGCACCCGAAGCCACGATCCCATGTTAGTTACGCCGTCGCTGCATCCTCAAAACCATAATCCACTGTAACTTGCACCAGATTCGCGACCTCGAGGCCACGATCCCCTGCAAGTTACGCGATAATCGCGTCCCCGAAGCCACGATCCCATGTCAGTTACGCCGTCGCTGCATCCTCGAAACCATAGTCCACTGTAACTTGCACCAGATTCGCGTCCTCG